AAGACAGATGCATAAAGCCTTCTAGTTCGATTTCCATCATTCAGTTCATATTTCCCTTTCTTTTCTCACCTTTGCCTGTCCTAGATTTTGGATTATGATTTTGGTCGATGCTCGATAAAATTGAAGTTCATGCTCTAGTATAGCTCCTAGTTGTACATGGTGTCTTTAAGCACATGGAATAATGGATAGAGATGTTATGGTGATGGAGCTACTGTAAGAGTCATGAGGAACTGTTTGTTTTGTCTGAAATTTCATGTCAATCCAACTTTCAGAAAGTTGCAGTCAAAGCAAGAGTAATCATGTTAAGACTTTCGAACTTAACCCATTTCCCGCAAGACAAATGACATTATACAAATGATACAAAACGATGTTAAAACCTAACTTGATATTTTTAATCTTGTGTTTAGTTCAACTTCTGATGAGAATTGAACCAAACATAATCTAAATTGATTCAACTATAAATTAAAATAACCAATAACATCCCCCATGTAAAAGTCGCTCAATGGGCAAGCAGCAGTTATCAAGTAGCCATTATGATGTTATACTAATAATGCAAAGAACTTTGAGAGAAGTATTTTGCAGATAACAAATGCTTCAAGAAACATAACGAAACAAGAATATGATTGGAGGTAAAACAAAATTTTTCATGTTAAAAGTAAATCCTTTAGCTATGTATTTTAACATAGTACTTCTTTGAGGACCTTATCTACTGTAGAACTTCCATATCCACCAAACTAAGCCATGCCTTTAATCACCTGAATCAAAGCTGTCATCAAGGAAAAACAGAAATTTTTTAGTTACTACAATGTAATTTTCTTGCATTCCATAGTAATGTACTTATTTCGTGTTGTAATCAAAATATATAAGTTCTATGAAACTAATACAAAGAAAAGGATTTCATCGCTTGTTCAAGATTCAAGCAAGCAAAAACATGGATTTTTAAAGGCTACAGAGTTGCAATTCTAAAGTTCTATTTGGTATATGATCAAAACTTCGAAAGTGGAAAAGCTTACACGATCCAAAGACCACAAATGCTACAACGAAAATAACGACAGCCCCAATAATATACTCCGAATATCCTTTCTTCTTTGAAGCTTCCCCTACAATTCCTCTCATCGTGATGTTCTTCTCAAATCTTGCGACTTTTCTCCCTGCAATACGCCTCGAAGTGGTCTGGTAAATGCAAACAAGAACCAAATTACCATGTTCCTCAATTAGGATGACAAATTGTACTCTTTTTCACCTTGAAATTCAGCATAAAACAAAGTTCAACGAGAAAAAGGAAATACAATTTATTATAAATTACTTGGTATAATAATCTAAGTCCCTATAAATTCAATGAAATTACATTTTGTTCAAACTATTTAGCATTTAGAAATCAATTATAATTTACACATTTATTCCATATCCATAATAATGCGAAAGAAAAGTCCAACTCCAGATTGTTCAGGAATAGTGGTCTTAAATTTTTCGACCCTTTACCTTAACATAAGTCAATTCTATTTCTTGATGGGGAAGAGATATGATTTAGTAGTAGAGTATCACCTCGACGTGGTGAAAGTCATTAGTCCAAGCCTGATTATTCGTAAACGCAATGGATATGAATTTTTCTATTTTGACTTGCTCCCTCCCCGTAATTGAATGAAAATGAATAAGAGGCTTGTGGCATAAACATGAAAGCGTAGGGATGACTATATTTCTAGGAGCGAACTTATATAATTTAATCAACTCTACTCATAAATTCAATTTGATTATCATGAACTTTGTATCCTTATCTTTCAAAATTGGAGATTGACATAGAACGCCTGTTTTCTTTCAAACTTTTATGTCATTTCCATATTCTTATCTTTATTCAATGAAATTAAAATTTGAACCCACCTCAGTCTTACTTCAGGACTCACCAAAACACCAAAAAACCAAAGAGATTGAGCAGGAATTGGACCAAACAGAATGGTACAGTAAACATAACACAAAACATGTCGAACTTCAGAATTTGCCCCAATCTCAACTATCAGAAACACCCATTAATCAAACATGCAGACCCATTGACAGTTTTTTTTCTTTAAAAAAAAAAAAAAAACCATTTAATCACTTTATAATCTCCATCCAAACAAGGCCTGAAAAATCATGGAGAACCAAGATGGGACATGCACATTGATCAAAAGGAACAGGAAAGAAAAAACAAACAAAAGCTCTGATCTCTTTGGGGGAAAAAAATGAACTTGAACAATTACAACATTATATATATATAGACTATGTACATGTAATCAAAAGAAAAGATAAGAAGAAGGAGAGAGGGTAGCGTACCATGTTTGGTTTCAAGAGCACTGCAATGAGAAACTGAGAAGAGAGAGATGGTCGGTGTTCAGAATCTGTAAGAACAGACAGCCGTTTTGGTTTTTGGTAACGCAGGACTGGTGTAGTCTGGTTTTAAATGGTACACATACGTGTCTGAAACTCCCCTTCTTTAATATATATATATATATATATATATATTATAATATTAATTTATTTATTATTAATGAATTCTTTTAAATATTATCTCAATCTTCTCTTTCTTTTTTTTGCTTATAATCCAAATCCAAAGTACATAAACAGATAATTTTATAAATAAATAGGCTTTTAAGGTATATAACATCTGTTATGAGATGAATGTTGACTAATTGTTGAATCCTTTTAATTTATTTCAAAATATCAATTGTTTTTAATTTTAATTGGATTTCCTTCAATGTTTTACTTGTCTATTACTACATATACTTGTCTGAATATATGTTGAAGGAAAGAAAATCAAGCATTAATTTTGTTTACTTTTTATACTTCTTGTATGTATGTATGTATATATATATATATATATATATAACCATGATTTTGGGTTTTATTTGGTAGCTTGGCAATTTGATATAATTTCACCTTATTATTAACATACCTTATTATTAACAAGCCACCAAACATAGAATCATAAAATAATTAATTCATTCAACTTGACAAGTTTAAAAAATTTCAATAAATTAAAATTTTGAATTTTTGGATAAAGATTCACAATATCAATCATAACACAACATTTTAATAAACAACAATAATATATATATATATATATATATATTAGCTCAAACTCAGATCTTCTTAGAAAAGCATGTACTAATGATCCAACTAGAAAGCTAAGCAACACTTTAGAAATTGGATTGCAAAAAAAATGACAATTAGACCATGAAAGAACAAGAAATATCTACATGTATCAAGCTTTGTATCTCAGTTTCAAATCACAAATCCCCAAACCTCTTTAATTATAAGAAGAGAAAATTAAGATTAGAAACCAAAGCATGTACACATATAAGTGAAGGGAACTTTTATTTTGGACAGTTTAGACTTTAAGACTTCCAGTTCCCAGAAATACATGGGAGAAATAGGTATAATTATCGGATACAAGAACAAGCAGGTCACTCTTTTTTATCTAACAAGATTCTAAAACAGGTATATACATGAGAACAAAAGGTCAAGCAACAAATTATCTGTTTACTCTTTCAAAATTGGTCTCTTCCAGTGCTCCATTCTCTGTAACAACGAAGAATTGGCCCAGCTGGGTCGTGTAGTTATGAACTGATGAGAGACAACTCGGCCCCGGGAGAGAATTCCACGAGTGAGGAATCAGTAAAGAGGATGCAAACTTTCTACCAATTGTGTAACTGAGCAGTAATGCTTTTTACCACAGGATGGTATTCAGTGTGCAAGTGCTTCCTAGCCTTCTTCGAACCAGGTTGCTCAAGCCACTCGTCATATAAAGTTTTCACAAGGGGATTATTGAAAGGATCAGCTACCAGGACCTATAAGTTATTACAGAATAATCAATTAAGAAAGACCTCAAAATTCAAATAACAGAAAATAGATGTCTATGAGCAGGCAACCTTGCACAGAACATAAAGCGGAGAGTTCTCATGGATTTTGCAGTACAACAATATAGTGATTAAAAATAGCTCAGTGAAACATTTAAGATAGTAAATCCATTACCTATATGATTCCTAATTCCATGAATTTTGTGATTACATGGTCCCTTGAACAAAACAGTTTGTAAGGTTCATATTGGATAACATTGTCTGTTTCCATGCTAATATGCACAGTAAATTGGGATGTGTAAACACTAATCAAAGATACCACCGTTACAGTCTTTGATAGAATGTAAAATTGAGATAGATACTCACATTTTCCATATAAACACCTGCTAATGCTTGAAGCAAATCTTTTGGAGATTGCCCTGGCTTTGGTTTAATTTGACCACCACCATTTAAGCAACCTGTTTCATCACAATAATTTTTAATTAAATAACAAAAGATGATCAGCACAATGAGCATGAGTTTTCAATATTCAGATATAACTTCTGATTAGGTAATGAAAAATGTGCAGCAGAGTAAGCATGCATTCAACATTCAGATGTAACCATAATACTATATTCAAAAATCACAAGAAGAATAGATAAATACCAGAAGGACATGCCATGACCTCAACAAAATGATAATCACATCTTTGCATTTTGACCTTCCTGACAATATTTTGCAAGTTCTGGAAGCCGTAACAGAGTGCAAATTTCAATACAGTTTTCCCGTCCACCTATATCATAGCACAAAATGTTCACCACATGAGATGCAGATCGCAAAAACAAAATAGTGCCTCTAAACAAATTCTTAATTCTATGCCAGTATCCCAATCATGTCCAATTAGATGCAAAACAGGTAAGCAAGCACACATACAAAGATGCAAAATGGGTAAAACAAGGACATATCAAGTCCATATTAGTTGTACAACTGCTTCACTCTTCCAAGAAGAACAGTGGAGGAAAGGATCATTTCAAACCCTATGAGTGCATCTCTAATTGATTATCCCAAGGGCACCACTAACAGTACCAAGCAAAATATTTAGTTTGATGAAAAAAAATTCATATATACCTAAAATCTGATTAGCGTCAAAAAAAAAATATAAACTTACTTCAAGAGTCACTTCTTGAAAGTCAGAATTTCTTATGGTTTTGAACTCCAAAGGACCACTGAGCTCTTTCCCAAATAGTGTTTTAGCAGCATATCTAAATGTTGTTTCTGCATAATCTCCAGAGCTTCCAGCAACCCCATAAAGACACTCTTCTTCATTGACATTGGTAAACCTGCTTATCACCCAAGAATAAAAAATTGTCAAACTGCACAAAAAGCATAGAATATTTCTTTTTAATCAGCAATGCAATGACATGCAAAATGAGTTCATTTGAATATTCTGGCTCTTACATTTTATCAAGAGGAGACTCCTCCAAGGCTTTAAAATCCACTGCTTTCAGCTGCAAGAAGTTGGTCAATAATGTAATGAATTATACATTGCGATATTTAGAAGAGTTGAACAACTATAAGAGAGTGCTGAGTTGCAGGAGATGTAAGTCATGGCCTTAAAACTTACTTGTATCAAATCCAAAACTTCACCCGATGTCAACACTGAATCTACCTCCGTAATCCTAAGATCTTCTTTTTCATGAATTCCATCTTCAGATTCCACTTGAAAAACAAAGTCATCCCTAGCAGCCTCAAGTTTCTTATCATAGCACGGCATTACTGTTACATGATAAACCTCTTCTGGACTGAAATAAAATATTAACCAATCAAATGACTGAGCATGCAAAATGACAACAAAGTAATTCGAGATATAAATACAAATCTTTTGATAAATAATAGAAAAATCATTTCCATTCACTTCAAATTGCGTGTAAGATGAAAATTTACCGCATGAAAGTAAAAAAAGAAATAAGTATCTTTTTCTTTTAGAAGAAAGAATAGAGGAAGTTTCATATAAGAATAAACCTGTTCCTGCCATCTATACGGAAGATGGAAATCAAGTTACATGTTAAACACAAAAGAACTACTAGGGAACTAAACCCTAACAGGAGCTTAGCAATAAAAATAGAAGAAAAGACATCTTTAAAAGGTTTTAAAAATTTCACTTCATTTCTAAGGTGCAAAATCTCACAGCCATATATGTAAAATACTACTGTCAAGTTCTCTTGTTCCTTGCTTTAAAATTCTTGAGATTACCTGAGACCCATTGTTTGGCACAGGTGGTTCTTAATGGTCGCTCCAATTGTTTGCTGAGGGCTCTTGACAGAAGAAATATATGGCAAAATGTAGGACCCAAGTTGCTTTTCAGCATAACATATCCAACCTGAAATTAGACAGAATAGAAGATGTTCTAGTTGATGGACGTCATGCATATATATCAATCATGACCTTGAAGGAACAAGTTAAAAACTATGATTATGTCACGTACCTGGACATGCTGAGGAAAGCATAGGTAGTGATACTTTAGATTTTCCATC